TGGATGGACTTTATTAGAGAGACCATGAATATGAGTTTGCAGGAGCTGAGCAGAGCAGTGGAAGACGGGGGGCCCTGGCGATGTCTCATCCATAGGGTCCCCATGGGTAAAGATCGACGCAAAAGCAGTTAACAACAACAACAAAGAAGGAGACTCCATCACCCTCCAAGGCAGCGTCTTCCACTGTTGAACAGCCCTTACTGTCAGGAAGTTCCTCCTGATGTTGAGGTGGAATATCTTTTCCTGTAGTTTGCACCCATTGCTCTGGGTCCTATTCTCTGGAGGAGCAGAAAACAAGCTTGCTCCATCCTCAATATGACATCCCTTCAATGCAATGAGTTAAAATATTATTCTTTTTAAGTTCAGTTTGTTCACACACAGTACTGTATGTGGTTCAATTTGTGGTTCAAATATTAGAAGTTAAACTTCTTCATCTTCCAATGTGATATTACTTTTGTAGGGGGTGCAGACATTAATCAAACATTTCCAAGGGGTGTGAGGCATAGAAAAGGTTGGGAACCACTGGCTTAGCCTGCTTTCACACTGCAGAAATAATCTGGTTTGACACAACTTTAACTACCACGGCTCAATGTTATGGAATTATGGGAATTGTAGTTTGTAGTGGCACCAACAAACTATAGTTCCTAGAATTCCATAGCATTGAATCGTGGCAATCAGAGTGGTGTCAAACCGGATTATTTCTGTAGTGTGGGTGTAGCCCTGGAGAGGTAGGGTAGGGATTGCAGAGAGCTAAGAAGATGGCATAGAGATAGGGAAAAGCTGTAATAGAGATAAAATAGTCAGCTGTAATAGAGATAAAATAGTCAGCCAGGGGGAAAGAACTGATGAGGGTTTTGGGGACTTAAAAATGTTTAAATAGTTCAGGGGTTAATGTGTGATCTAATGTGTATTAATAAACATCTGCTTATTTTTTTAAAGTTGTAAACTTCCCAACTTTTGTATGTTTTTAGTAGTATTTTTTTAAAAAAAATTATAAGCCGCTTTGAGTTCCAACTTGGAAAAAAAGCAGGATATAAATAAATATAACAACAACAATAACAACAACAGTGTCTGGCTGTTCCCGCAGAAGAACACATCATCCACTGGTCCGTATAGGGATCACGATGAGGCCCAAGTATCCTTATTCAGGGAGGGATCTTAAGGGGGCAAAGTGAGTGACAGGAGGCCAAGGGTTTGGAAACGTGGGGTTGGCCTGGAGAGGGGATCCGTCACCGTAGGTAGCCTCTTTTCCCATCATGTCCCCAAAAATGTATGTCAGGGAAGCTTTGAGCAAGGCAAGTTGGGATAGCCAGCCCATGCTTCCAGTGCGTGGGATCGATGTACCTCCTCTTTCTCTACCAGACAAGATCATTTCCTTTTCCAAGTTCTGGACAATTTGCAGTGAACTTAGAGGGGCTGTGGCATGAACCCTTGCAGTGATCCACTAGCACAAGGGCAAGTCATTGTTGTCCTCCAGATAGTTTGGGACTGCAGGTCCCATAATGTCCCTCCAGTGGCTATGCTGTCTAGGACTGATGGGAACTGGAGGCCAACAACATGTGGAGGGATAGAGTTGCTCAACTCTGCTCCAAGAGAAATGGAAGGAAGGAAGCACAGAGAATTGCCGTAAACCTGACTTTGCAGGTAACTAGTAAGTTAACTGGTAAGATCAGTCTACAAAGGGATCTTGTAATATCTTTGAGACTAACTGAAAGAAAGAAGTTGGAAGTATGAGCTTTCCTAGACTTGAGCCTACTTCCTCAGATGAATAGCTGAAGTCTACAAAAGCTCATGCGACCAACTTTCTTTCTTTCTTTCAGTTAGTTTCTAAAGGTGCTACAAGATCCCTTTGCATACTGATTTTCCAGACTAACATGGATTTTCCAGACCTTTGAATTCAAGTAAGATCAGTGAGAGCCAGCATGGTGTAGTGGTCTGTGTGTTGGACTATGACTGTGGAGACCAGGGTTCGAATCTTGTCTCAGCTAGGTGATATTGGGCAAGTCACACACTCTTGGCCTCAGAGGATGGCAATCGCAACCCCCCCCCCCCCCAAAGAAAGTTGCCAAGAAACCCCATGATAGGTTTGCCTTAGGGGCTCTATAAGTTGAAAATGACTTGAAGGCACACAACAAGAGTAAGATCAGTTTTTGAAATTTGACAAAAACTTTATTTTTCCAAAGGCAAGTAAGTGCTGATGACATCGGGGACTTTGATGCTAAGGAGGTAGTCATTAGCATCTGTCTTACTTAAGTTGGCTGTGAGGAAA